CGGTTTGTTGTTCACAACCTACCACTCGATCTCGATGATGCACAACTAATACAATTGTTTAAGGATCTCAGTGGTTTTAAGGCTATAATTAAGGAGGTGATTGCATTTTATAAAATAACATGTTATATCTAATTAGAAGCCATTTAAACAATAATTTACTCGAAATATTTTTCAAGGCGCGTGTTATGCATGATTCAAAAAAAGTTGACACAGCCGGAAGAGGAAAATCTAAAGAGTATGGTTTTGTTACGTTCACTACTCATGAAGATGCGCTCAAAGCTTTAAGAAGTATAAACAATCCAAATATATTTTCTAAAAACAGGGTAATTATATATATATATATGTGTGTGTGTGTGTGTGTGTGTGCGCACGTGTTTTTACTGTCATTGACAATATTCTTATCCTTTATCCATTATGAGATCTTTATTAACAAATTTCTCTTTCATAAACTCTATATATAGAGACCAATCGTCGGATTCTCGATAGAAAGTGGAATTATGGTGAACGCAAAGAGAAGAAGAATTGAAAAGAGTCGTGAGCATAATCCACTATGCTCTAAATATAAAGGAAAGAGGGTAGCTGTAGACATAAAGGAGAAAGAGCTACTCAAAAATCAAGTTAAGAGGAGAAAAAGATAGATGTATTTCTTCGTTTCCTCTTCTTTTTTTGGCAGTGATGTTGCGCGTCGGAATTATAGTCGAGCGAACGTTATCTTGGGAATGCGCTTCAGGATCATCACGTTCGTAGCGCGGCATCGGAACTTGGCATGATCCATTCCTTGTCACTAGGGGACGACTCGCCGGCTAATTCCTGAAATAAAGTCACATCCGAGAGATAATGGATGATTCGTCGGGAGTTTCGCGCGCCGAAATACCGATAGAGAAGCACGTTCCACGCAGAGCATGGGTCATTTTTGCTCTCGTGACTGGTACCAATGCCAAGGAATACAAGTAGCGAACTTCTCTGCCCCCTCTCTAAATATTCTCATTGTTTTTTGGCTTATAAATTCGAATTTTAAGCTTTTGATATTACAGAAAGTTCAGATAGTCTCCGGACATTGGTACTTTTGCATTGGTACCAGTTCCTCTTTAAGCGATACGTTCGTGGAAAGCCGAGCTCACAACATCCGTTTAGACAGCGGCAAGCAGAACGTCAATTCTTCGTCAAAATGTCTTTAGATGCTTTTACATTGGAATATTCGCAGTATCCGTCACAGCCACATCTTAACCAACCCTATTAAAAAAAAGGCCTGCTTATTGCCGTCTGTACAAACAATGCGGATCCGGCTTGATATTCCACGATTCGATCGTAATTTTGTTCGACGTGGAAAAATAATAAACAAAGAGAAGCAAAAATATTACGTCGCGAAAGACAAACTGTGCGGCGTTTTGTTTTTTGGAGCGCGGCAAGCAACCGGTTTCGAGATGTATCTCGAGAAACTGAGATGATTTGGCGCTACCTCGAAATATCATAAATCACGAGTAACTGAAAACGATTTTCCGTTCGTGTGGCGGATAATCGTTTTCACACGCGGGCAACATCGCGCGCGGTCGTTGACCATTAGCATCAAGGTTTTCTCCGGCTTTCCTCGGATGTCTCAGATTCGCACTCATGGTCACACGAATAACGGGAGATGTGCGAGCAAGCTACGGATGCGTCGTTTATTACAAGGACAATGGTAACACACGGCGATAATGTGCGTCGTCGGCATCGCGAGTCTTCCTGCGTCCAAGTCGTTGAATTCACATGAGCGCGCATCTTCATCGTCGAAAATGGGAAATCATTCGGTCGAAATCGGAGAGGACATCGGTCACTGTTAACCCTTAAGGCCCAGTTCCATAACTTGCTTTAAACTCCGTTTAAAGCACGTTGTGGGACTGGGTCTAAGGCCCGGTTCCACAACTTACTGTAAACGAAGTTTAACTCGTTAATCCTAGTTTAGACGAAAAATTGCGTTCCACAACTGCCTTAAACCATGGTTAACGTTGATTTCTCACAGTTAAAGTTAAACCCAAAACTTTGGGCGTTTAATGGATTTAAACGAAGTTTAACACTGCAGTACCATTAATTTGAGAAAAAAATTTATGACTATCCTGGTTTTGGAGTTCAGTTGACAAATATTTTGAACGTTTCAACACCAAAGAGATATGGCTTTAAAATACATATTATCTTCATCTAAAGATGAAGATTTTGAAAACCTAATTTATCGACGGACAAGAATATAAGAATAAGACGACCATCATATTTGGAAGAATTTGATAATGTCGATTTTCATGCACGATTTAGATTATCAAAAGAATCTGTTATTGCAGTTCTAGCAGAAATCGAGCATGAAATTTCTCATTAAACAGAACAGTAAGTATATAAATTTAATTTAAAATATTGGGTTTTTTGCTTCGATAGATTATATTCTAAAACAGAGTATAAAACTATATACAAAAGTCAATTATTATATGATAAATGCAATCAAATCAATAATATAAACTAATTGATTATTATTAACACTGGACTTCCACCTTTTAATAAATTAATACTTATATACAAATACAGCAAATGTTAATGTTGGTTAGTGTTTACTTCATAAGCAAACAGATATATTGTTCTCTACTAGATGTCATAGCATCCAACTTATTTCAATTTTCCCTCTTCACTATTAGCAACAACCAATCATACTCTACGTTTGAAAAAGAAAGAGAAGTCTTTGACAGTTTCTTCATACAGACTATAGGTTTAAGTAAACTACAGTTAAAAACATGATGTGGAACGCGATATAAGTTTAACCATGCCGTTAAATGTAACGTCAGTTCAGATAATCACGGTTCAAACTTGATTTTGTGGAACTAGGCCTAAGTAAACGTACTGGCAACTGGCGCACAGGGCGCATCAGTGACTCTACTTTCTTTTTCGAAATTTAAGCAAACCAAGAGATGTTCAAAAACAAAAACACAATGCTGTTTGATGATTAAATATTTTTACCTTACCAAAAGACAAAAAATAAGTAAATTCTCTGAGTTGACAAAAAATCAACATTTTTCTCTACATCCCAGACAGCACCGGACATCCAATAGATGTACGTTTCACGTCCAATTTATGTCCGTATGTCCGATTTACGTCCGTGGACATAAATTGGACGTAATAAGGATGTCCTTATTGGACATCGGACCTGTAGGACGTCCGATGTACGTACGGTCACGGACATAAAGGTTGTCACTTGTTTTTTAATGACTTTCGGGACGCATCCCGACTCGAGAAAGATTAGAGCTGCTGCTCCGCCTGCGAAGCACGCCTGCGCAGTAACTCACAACGAAAGGCGAGAAATAAAATATACGTGGTGCCAACAATCATTGCGTTCAGCGGAGAAAACCGCTCAGTGAGCGATTAGTGACTAAATAAATACGATTTCACTTAAAATTTAATATACATACCTGTTCAATACCTTGCAAAAAACGCATTCCCATTTGAATGACTTGCACTATGTATCTATCCCTCCACTGCTGATTTTTCAAAATGTAAGAATTGGGTGCGTTCACGACATTCAACGATTGAGCAACTGTTGAATAATTTGTCAACGTTATTGGTCTGAATGTAAGGATCTAACAGTAAGGACCAATAGTCACTAATCGCTCATTGAGCGATTTTCTCCGTTAAACGCAATGATTGTTGACATACTTATATCATACCACCACGTATATTTTATTTCTCGCCTTTCATTGTGAGTTACTGCGCAGGCTTGCTTCGCAGGCGGAGCAGCAGCTCTCATCTTTCTCGAGTCGGGATGTGTCCCGAAAGTCATTAAAAAACAAGTGACAACCTTTATGTCCGCGACCGTACGTCCATCGGACGTCCTATGTCCGAAGTTGTGACAAACGTACGTCTTTTGTAAAAAAAAATGGACATATAACGGACATCCAACGGACATCAGTGTGCTGTCTGGGATACTATTACTTATAGATATCTGATTCTTATTGCTGTTATTAATTCGTAGGCGAATATCTTGTGCGACTCGTCGTAACCTCCTCTAATGATTGACAGATGTACGTCAAACTGCTTTTAAAACTCACTGTAAAACCAACCTGTCGTCTTGCTATATCGATATTTTGATTTGTCAAGAAGAATTTATGCCTCCATCGAATCAGCAGAGACCTGGTCACGTGATCAGTTTGCCAATGGGTGCGTTCAGTACTATACCACTCACTGAGCGCTCAATGAGCTTTTACATTTGATTGGTATATTCCTTTAGATTTAAAAATATACACCAACCAGATGCAAGAGCTCACTTAGCGCTCAGTGAGCGGTTGTAGTACTGAATGCACCCAGTGGCTGCGTTCAGAAAACACAACGGTTACACAACGGTTGAGTAATTCGTCAACGTTATTGGTCTGAATGTAAGGATCTAACAGTAAAGACTATTGCACGTAAAAAAATTTTAGTCGTAACCGTAAGACCGTAAGCAAATTGACCAATCACAATCCAGCATCTCGAAATATACGAATTGTGATTGGTCAATTTGTTTACGGACTTACGGTTACGACTAAAACTTTTGTACGTGCAATGGCCTTAAGGCTCGTCTACAATAGCTGTAAGAGTAAGGCTGTAAGGCTGTAACGTAAGCTATCAGCGAATGAAAATATTTCATTTCGTGCCTTGCAACCTTACAGCCTTACTCTTACAGCTAATGTAGACGAGCCTTTAAAGGCCATCACACGTAGAAAAATTTTAACCGTAACCGTAAGGTTGTAAATAAACTGACCAATCACAGTCGATCCTTTCTCTTGTGACATTATAATAATCGACTGTGATTGGTCAGTTTTCTTACAACCTTACGGTTACGGTTAAAATTTTTCTACGTGTGATGGCCTTAAGGACCAATAGTTACTAAGCGCTCAGTGAGCCCTTTGTTTTCTCAACGCAACCAATAATCACTAAGCGCTCACCACAGATGTCTATACTATACTAGATTGCTAACTTCTCAAAAGAGCTGTGTCCCGCCTATTTTCCGGTTCGGCCATGAAGACCGCCAAGCATGGCGGCGGTGTGTGTTTGTAGTGTGTATGTGAATACCCGATGCGTATTGGTAGTGCGTGGTAGTGCGTATGTGACACCTGATGTGTCTACTACTATTTATGTTAGTAAAACTGCAAATCTACAAACGAGATAATGCCGAATAAGTATTGTAAATTTCAAAAATACGAACAAGAAAGAATATAATTTAAAGATGTGTGTATTAATAAGATGTTGCTAATCTAAGTGTTTGGTAAAGGTTAAAATTAAATTGAATATATACAGTTCAAAATATGTCAAAGTATTTGTATTAATATTTTTTACATACATATAAAGAATAAAATGCAACTTATGTGTTATTAAATAATATTAATTTTGTAAATTTGTGTCTGTTACTTGCAGGATTTCTATCTTTTGTTATTTTTGTAAGTGAATACATTCTAATATTAATAATATTAACATAATGTTAATAATATTAACAATGTTTAATTGCAAGATAACCCTCACATATTACAAACCTCGAACATTTATTATATATAAATGTATTCTACTTACTTAAATAAGTGATATCCTTTTTTATTCGTATTATTGCAATTAACAATGCAACATGTACTTGGCATTATCTCGTTTATATATTTGCAGTTTTACTAATATAAATAGCAGTAGATACGACACATCAGTGTAGACACATCAGGTATCACATACTTACAGTATAACACTACTACACACGCATCGGATACTCACGTACGCACTACATACACACCGCTGCCATGTTTTGGCGGTTTTCATGGCCGAACCGGAAAATAGGCGGGACACAGCTCTTGTATAGGTCAAAGATCGAAGTTAGCAATCTAGTATAGTATAGACATCTGTGGCGCTCACTGATCATTTTGTTGGGCTGAACGCAGCCAATCATTAAACGCTAGTAAGCTGCTTTCTGCTGGCTGAACTTGGCCATTTTTCTGATGTTACGTGCACGTGCTATATGTACGGATACTGGTGTCTGATTATTCCAAAACCATATTATTATTACAGAATTAATTATATAAGTTGTGTAATTAGCAACCAATAAGGATGGCAAAGTTTTGTCTGAGTAAGTTAATTGAATTATTAAAACAATTCTGTGTATGAATCTTACATTTTATAGAAGAATCATACCATTAAGGTTATGTATATTTAATTAAAATTGTTTTCTATTTAAATATTACTGTGTATATATATTTGTAGACAAGCCAAGTAAACGTACATCGGCGCGAAAGAGATACAAGATCGAGAAGAAAGTCCGTAAGCACAATCGTAAGATGAAGAAAGAAGCCAAGAAACATCCTAAAAGTAAATCGGCTCTTAGAATTTTTATGCATATACATATATTATATTAACAAGTAGTTGATATATGGCATTGTATTTTGATTTAGAAAAAGCCAAAGTAATGGAGATACCAAATCAATGTCCCTTTAAAGAAGACATATTAAAAGAAATAGAAGCAATGAAAAAGGCAAATGACGAAGAAAAGAGGAAGAGGAAGGAAGCTGCTCGTGAGAAAAAACGCGAAGAACTTGCCACAAGTGGTCTTCAAGGATTAGTCCATCAGGCTGAGAATAAGCAACTGGCATATAAACCTATGGAAGTCGATTCTGTAGAAGATAAAATTAAAGAAGCTGTAACCAAGGAAGAAAATTCATTGAAAGCCTATTATAAGGAATTCAAGAAAGTTTTGGATGCAGCAGATGTTATTATTGAGGTTGTGGATGCTCGTGATCCATTAGGAACACGCTGTAAACAGGTATACTTGAATCAACCAGAAATATGAATACATATGGACTTATAAATTTATTAATAAATATTTACGTTTATATAGGTGGAAGAAGCAGTTAGATCTGCAAAAGGAAACAAAAGATTAGTATTAGTTTTGAATAAAGCAGATCTGGTTCCTAGAGAAAATCTAGATCAATGGTTGAAATATTTGAGAGCCAGTTTGCCAACTGTAGCATTTAAATCATCCACACAAAGTCAAGCGAAACGGTTAGGTCGAAGAATGCTAGGCCGAAAAACAGAATCCATGATACAAAGCAATACCTGTTTTGGCGCGGAATTATTGTTGTCTTTACTTGGAAATTATTGCAGAAACAGTGGCAATGTAAAGACAAGTATCAGAGTAGGAGTTGTTGGGCTTCCAAATGTAGGCAAATCTAGTGTTATTAATTCCTTAAAACGCAGTAAGGCTTGCAATGTCGGAAACACGCCAGGTGATTATTAGATAGTTCATTATTTCTTAGGACCTCATCCCTTTCTGCAACAATTTTTCAATTTTATTGAGAATCCAACAGCTTTATATTTTATGTTTATTTTATGTTTATATGTCTCCTTACCATTGTAATCATTATTAATTTTCATTTTTACTGAAGCAGCTTCTACTTGACTGTCTCCGTTTATTTTACGTTTACGTTTACGTTTAATTTGTTTCTACTTACAGGAATAACAAAAACAATGCAAGCAGTTCAGTTAGATTCAAAGATAAAACTGCTGGATTCTCCTGGTATAGTATTTGCTAATTCGGACGGAAATTTCGACGAAACATCTGTGGCTCTTAAAAATGCTGTGAAAATCCAAGCATTGAAAGATCCATTTACACCAGCAACAGCTATTCTAAAAAGAATTTCACGAGAACAAATAACAGAATTATACGATATACAGAATTTTTCGACGCCAGATGATTTTTTCCCAATGAAGGCCGCAAGAATGGGTAAATTTAAGAAAGGTGGAATACCCGATGCATTAGCTGCAGCGCGCAGTGTTCTGGACGATTGGAATTCCGGAAAAATTAGGTTTGTAATGGAATTTCGGATACTTATATACTCAAAGAGGAAATTCGTTTTTTATAATTCTCAGCGATGCATGATTCTATATATTATATTTTATATTTTGCGTGGAATTTTTTAGATATTACACAGTACCACCTGAACAACCGGTGTGTCATATATCCGCGGAGATAGTTAGTCAAATGGCTAAAGAATTCGACATCGAGAGTTTTGCCGCGGAAGAAAAAATGATGCTCGATAACCTCACAACAGAATCTACTTGTAACCCTACTATTGTGAAGCCTTTGTTGGTCGATAGTTCAGGTCCTGTTACAGCGGCGATGGAAGTCGAGATGCAGAAAAATGCGGTAAGACGCGAATATATCGGTGACTTTATAATGATGAATGTGTTATATGTTTGTATATTTTACACGATTCTCGATGTTTTGGCGTAGGAATATAAGATCCAAAAAAAATTGAAGAAGAAGTTGGCAGAAAGGAAGAATACCGAGAAGAAGAAGAAAAAAGTTGATCCCCTTTCTGAAATTGAAGGCAATCAAAAACTGAATAAGCTAAGTAAACTTCAATTCAAGAAGGAGAAGAAGAAAAAAGCGAAGGCAGGTACGGAGAGAACGAAGAAGGAAATTAACTTTCCAATTCCATTGATTAACATAATATATGTATACTTACGTTACTCAGAGAAAATGGCCTTTTCAGAAAAAGCAGCTGCTAAATTAGCGGGACAACTTGAAGGATTTAGCTTATAGAAGGAAGATGACTTTATACTGCGGATTTTACATAGACATTATGTATATAACATAAATGTGTATGAATTTAACATGAACTTTATATGAAAATTGTATATATAAATGTGAAGTATTAAAAAAAACTACATAAATAAAAGTTGCTTTGATGAGCGGGAGAGAGAGAGAGAGAGAGAGAGAGAGAGAGAGAGAGAGAGAATATTAGTATCTAGCATATTATTTTGTTTTATACTTTCCGTTACACAACCTACACGATATCTATTAATTATTATGCATTGTTTACAATAATTATGCATTGTTTACAATAATTATGCATTGTTTACAATGAGAAAAATATACAACTGATTCTTCCATGTAACTTTTACCTTTCTATAATTAATGTTCCGGTATATCTTATGTTGATATAAGTTATCTTTAGACGTTTGGATAAAGCTTACTCTTAGCTTAATCCTTTAAGAATGATTAACTAAAAGTCCCTATTAAAACGGCAAAGGTCTTCTCAAAATTATCTTTGTTTCTTCTTTGGCTTGTTAAACTCATCAGCTTAAATTAACAACAGATAAAAGTTATAAAAAAGGTGTGTATGTGTACAAATTCCGCAACAAATGATGAAATATCACACAAAATGATGAAATATCACACAAAATGATAACTTTGACATTTTATATAATTAAGTTCCCAATAATCGATACGTTAGCAATTCTTTCGACCAATTAGCAATAGATTCGATTAAGATTTGCTAATAAGTTTCATAGACATCTGTGTTTGCATGTAATTCGTGTTTGACAGAATCCGATAGTAGTTTGGCGACAGAAAGCAAGCAAGATTTGCAGTATGTCCCATTTAAATAGATTGGAACGGCAGACTCTGCTATATTTCTGCCGTTGTCAGTCTGTCGTTATACTATATCATTATTTATTAATTATTCAAAGTCACAGAGATCGATTTTTTAGCGGTAGCTTTATGTTAATGTATAGAAGGAAATTTATATATGATTAGAAAATGCTAGTAAACCCTGAAATATGCAGAATGTCCCATTTTAATGTCCCACCCCAAATAACTCTTCAGTATTGAAGTTTGAAGGAAAATGATCTGAATAAAAGTTGTAGGGATTTAAGTGAGCTACCTTATGATGACCTTGTCTTTGATTTTGACCTTCATTTTCAAGGTCATTTAAAGGTCAACTTGCGTTTTTTAAATGGGAACCCTCATTTTTTATTATACTGTTTTTTCCTATTATAGTTAATTTGAACAACTTTTGTCTAAAACATTTTTTTATTTGTCTAACATTTTTTGAGATATTTGAGGAAAACTTGATAACTTTCTCAATATTTAACTTACGATATCTCGCCAACTATTTGTTGGAAGAAAAGATGGTACCAGACTTTCTTGCTTTATTTAGTTTCAAGAATATATTGTTACAATAGTGCCCTGATTTTTGTTAATTTGATGATTTTGAAATTTCCAAAAATCAGTAAGTTAACAAAAGTCAAGGCTGTTGTAACAATATATTCTTGAGACTAAATAAAGCAAGAAAGTCTAGTACCACTTTTTCTTCCGACAGATAGTTAGCGAGTTATCGTAAGTTAAATATTGAAAAAGTTATCAAGTTTTCCTCAAATATCTCAAAAAATGTTAGACAAATAAAAAAATGTTTTAGACAAAAGTTGTTCAAATTAAGTAATAGAAAAAAACAGTATAATAAACAATAAAGGTTCCCGTTTAAAAAACGCAAGTTAACCTTCAAATGACCTTGAAAATAGAGGTCAAGGTCATCATAAGCTCACTCAAATCCCTACAACTTTTATTCAAATCATTTTTCTTGAAACTTCAATACTGAAGTTATTTGGGGTGGGGCATTAAAATGGGACACCCTGTATATTATGGCAACTTATTCTATTATTCCATTCGTACGTGTCGCATTGCAATTATTCATATTATATAAATATGATATATCATATAGTGTAAAATTAGGAAAAGAAATAAGAATCATTCGTGGAAGCATTGCGATTTACAATTAATTACAACAATTACACTTATGTAATGTATTGATTGTATATCGGCAGATAATAATAATGCAGGTAAATTTCAAAAATGAAAGATTCGCCGATATATTTTAATAGCATACCAAAAATCATAAAACTTTTTAGGAAAATGCAAATACAAAAGAAATATTAAGAGACGCTCATGTGGGCGCGCTTACATATTAGATATGCGGTAATTGGTTATGTATGCTTCAAATCTGTTAGAAAGTATTCGTGTACCGAGAAATCCCATTAATTAGCATATAGGTACATTACGATAAGAAATAAAGTTTATCATTGTAGACTTCGTTTATCAATGTAGGTCAACTTTTTAAAAGATAATGGATGCATTTAGACAGATAGTTGCATTCGGAGCAACGCTATTTAGCTGGAAGCTGTTCCTGAAGCTAAATGATAGTATTAACAAACATTATGACGTCACTAATGGTAGTATGCTATAATTGCGCGCTATCAATCCTATTCCTTCCAAGCTGGCATACTAGTAATATTAGTGTTTGTAAACTCGGTAAATATTCAAAACACTGTGGACCGCACTTCTGTCGCTACGTATAATTGTCAAATATATACACACATTTGCATATATTTATATGTAACGTACGTAACGGACAATTGCTTTTAAATAAATCTTTAAAATATTAAAACTGATAGTTAAGCGCTAAATTTAGCGTACAGCTAAATAGCGTTTCTCCGAATGCAACTGTCTGTCTAAATGCATCCATTATCTTTTAAAAAGTTAACCTACATTGATTACGATAATCAACTTCTACAATATATATATATATATAGTAAATAACAGCGTGATGTTGCGTATAAATAATGAGCGAACAAAGTACTGCGAAAATAATAAAGTTCTACGAACAGTAACGTAACATTATATGAGAAAGATATACGTATATATGGTATATATATGTATTGTGCTATTGGCTCCATGAATAGTTTCAGTAGCGTTTACGTATACATGTAAGCATATTTAATCTCTTCTTCATTCACATACTCAAATATTGAATTTGTGATGAAATGTTGATGAAAAGATAAACATTATTGAAAATAATGTTAATTATTCGCTACATTTTCCAATATAAGAAAAGAAAAAATCTCATCATATAACTGACAGATGTTATTTTAAAATTATTTCATCACATTTCTTGACTTTAAAAAGTTAATAAATGCATTCAGTATTATATAATTTACAAACAGATTAATTTGTAATTTTTTAATTTGATCAAATCTGGAAATCAATACAACCAAATCCAAAAACATTTTGTGATTATTATTGTTATTTAAAAAAAAATTTTTCTTTTTAATGCATCTTAATCATTCGTTTTCCTTTTTTTCTTTTACCATATTCGCAATATGTTATATAATTATCTAATCTAATGATTATTCTGATGATATATAGACATTCTGGATAATGTCAAATATCTTGTTCAATAGATAAGAAATTTACAAATAGCATGTATAAAGGAAAAATGATGTGTATGGACAAATAAGATAACCAGAAAGGATGATAACACATTTTGTTGTGACAACGTTGCGTTGGTTAAATCCGTCTATACTCGCATGTTACGAAGCGTTGATAATAGTTGTCGAGAAGTTCAGTCTCACTTGCTCGACAGTCGCGGAGTAGGCAAGAACGAACGTAGTCTCACCGTACAGTTTGCCGAGAGCCATTAGTCGCTGCGTTTGGCACATTGTGAAATCATCCTTCGATTGTCATTAGATACGGTGTTGCAGCCAAACAATGAGCGGACAAAATATTGCGAAATTAATAGAGGCGATGAAGAAGATGACGAGGGTCATCAGGCCGCTGGGCCCGCCGAAGATTTGGGAAGTGATCGAAAAAAAGAGTAAAGACGGACGACCGCTCAAATTCACGATTCAGGAGATCCCGAAGGACAGAAAGGAAGATGTGGTCGAACACATGTGCAAATACTTTTTGGAAGGCGAACCGACCTGCGCATGTTTCAGTAAGTCTTTCTTTTTACTTGTGAACCGATAACGCAATTAACTTAATTGATTAACGCATTTGCATGAAGCTTCACGCTTTGCGCGAGGAAGATGACGAGTGCAATGACAGATAATTCATCGGGCTAATTATATTTCTGTGAATGACACTTGCACACTCTCGTTTCTATTTATTTACCGACATTTAAATGAGATGACCCAACTGAATTGAAATTAATATAAATACAAAATATTCGTTACTTTTGATGATTGGATTTCATAATTTAACGCTACGAATCGTGGAAGATGGGAGAATAAATAACTCTGAAGTGTCGAAAGTTTTATAGACGCTTACCTCAAAGACAGAAAAATGTGATCTAATATACAATATCATGTTCTTAAAACTTGCAGCGTTAGATTAATCTACAACTCACGAGGAATGTAATTAGATGCAACACAACGTAGACCTTGACATCGTCAGAGAAACAAAGTGTTTGACTTTTGACCGCTTCGTTAATATGCAGTGTGTTAATTTCCTGTCATTTATTTCTTCAAATATTGTGCTTAGACCGACTACTCACTTTAAGAAAGTTCTATTTTCATGTTTTCACCTATGTTGAATTATATTATGTACGCTTAATGTTTGATATTTATTATCTAACGCACGTGTGTCGGTAGTATTGTTATATATCATACTACCTATCCAAACAGACTCGATCTTGTGATGTAGTTGTATGAGTCCCCGAGGTGAAGACGTCATTCGAAAATACATTCAAATTTACATGTGAATTCAGAGTTAAGAAAAGAAAGCTTTTCGGCAGTCGTATATTTTGTGCTATAGCCGCTTTTGCTTCTTTATCTTAAATTTATTATATCAAAGTTTCGCGCCGAAAGGCGAGGTATTCTCTAGCTTCGAGCGCGTCGACTAAGCTCTACGCTTCAAAGCATCGGAAATTTGTTGCATAAGAGCGACGTGACGTAAACACTTTTGTCTTGTCTTACAGATGCCTTAAATACACCTATATACGTTGAAGAGTGCCGAGCATTATGGCACTACGTGCTGGAACAAAATATAGCCGTAGTCGCTTTCGTTGACAATCCCAACGGAGGGAAACCTATAATAGCCGGTGTAAACATGTTATACGTAGAGTTTAAAGAATACGAGAAGAATATCGAGGATATCCAGGTGAGTTATTATCTAACGCACGTGTATCGGTAGTATTGTCATATATTGTCATATATCATATCACCTATCCTATCCAAACAGACTCGATCTTGTGATATAGTTGTATGAGTCTCCGAGGTGAAAACGTCATTCGAAAAAACATTCAAATTTACATGTGAATTCAGAGTTAAGAAAAGAAAGGTTTTTGGCAGTCGTATATTTTGTGCTATAGCCGCTTTTGCTTCTTTATTTCAAATTTACTATTATCAAAGTTTCACATACGTAAATTTTTCTCCAAATTATTTCGATTTCTCGATACGTCAGCATAGCGCGCATCTGCGCAAATTGTTGCAAGAAATAATCGCTGAAAATTTCGCGATGATTCACAATCTGACTTGTCAACGATAACTCATATAATGTAAACGGGACCTATTGCATCGATATGCACCTCACGGTGCGATTTCCAGTTTATGTCAAAGTTCAGCATCACGTACAAAGTCATGAAGAAACTAAATAAGGAAGTTCAATTGTACGATCGTTACGGAGTGGACAAGTACTTGGCCGCCGTTGGACTCAGCGTAGCGCCCCCTTTCCGAGGATACGGATTGGGCACGGATATTCTGAAAATCAGGTAAGATACGTGTACTTCAGCTAAGAATTTATTTCATGCATAAGAGCTTTCCTGCGGTAGAGCTCGATACTGCGGAGAGTTTCCGTACGATAAGAATTCGGTCTAGAGAAAACTGCAAAGAGTCAAAAAGATTGGTTGAATTTCTTTCATTCCGATGAAGTTTCTCTCACCGAAACTTGATGCATAAGAACCGGGAATTCTCTCTTCTTCGACGAAAACGCGTTCGGTTCATCCATTGTCACATTAATACAAGCAATCTTTTTTCCTCCGTGTCGATCCGTATGGAAACTGAGCGAGATGAAACTAGCCTGCTGCTCAGAGCGAGAAGAGTTTCCTTCTCAGGAGGAAGTTTTACATGCGGCTAATCGTGTCATACGTGCGATTTAAATGTCTAGGAATAAAGTCGGCCGTGAATACGATATCGGGATGACATCCACCATATTCACCTCGCCGTTCTCGGTTAAATCAGCGGAGCACGCGGGATTCGAGATGCTATTGAAGAAAGATTTCATCGATGTAGTGGACGAAAATGGAAAAGAGTATTTCCCTGGTGTGCAACAGTTCTCCAAAAGTGTAGCGGTCATGGCAAAAAGACTCTAAGGTGAGATCCCGACTCCTCGCGCGTGAGACAATAGCAGAGAGGATGAAAAAAAAAATGAATTATCCGAGTTTTCCTGATCCGGTATAATTTTTATTGCAAATATGGTCCTAATAAAATTTTGCTACCAAACCTTTCAAATTGTTCAGTCAGTATTGTTCAAATTGAATTTCGTGCTTGGATAATTTTGTATGAGAAACTATATAAAAAAAACTACACAGCTATGTAATACAGATTTATTTTATCGTATCGTTTTTAGTATCGAAAAATTAATATGTAAAAAGCGGTCCGAGAAAGTCACCCTTTTATGTTATACATCGACTTTTCGCAGAAATTCACACGTCCGCTCTCACGAGAAACCAGCGCGTGTACAATAGCGGGAATTATATCTCTTATACCTGTATTATCAAACTGAGTTTTACGCAATTACGTCAAAAAAATATACGGAACGTTCTAGAAGAAATCCTCTAAATAAAGCATAAAAGCAAAGGTATTATTTCCTACGCAAATACGGATAGTGATATTTATCAACTTCCTGAAGTGAAAGCCCATCTCAAGCTTTCAGCCAGAAATATGTACAATATAGATGTAAAACATGGGGAAGAGAAGAGAGAGAGAGAGAGAGAGAGAGAGAGAGAGAGAGAGAGAGAGATTAAGAAAGCAGTTTCAAGACAGTCGAATTGAAGAGGTCGACAAGATTACGAGAAGGAAGAAACTCACGGGCAAAGAATCCGCGGATGAAGTCTCTCCGCGTGATTTTCCGATATTTAGCTCGTGCTCTTAGCTAAGCGTGAAGGTGCTCCACGCGATTGGATTACACGAAGCAGAGAATAGAGCCGTCAAATTGAACTGAAGTACTCTCGTACTGTCGGCCATTAGCGATCGCGACGGAAAGGATGCTTTTCGGAGTTTTGAGAGCGCGTCAAGCACAAGTTCATCGGCGATGCGCATTGAAATGCGGTTAGACGTGTGCACTTCCGTCATTATAAATAATCAGCATATGCGACGGCATTTAGACGCATTCAACATATGACTATATTTTAATAACAAATTTCCGTGCGCATTTAACAAAATGCTACGTCATTGCGTGATATGTCGTTACGTCGTTTACATGGCTAGAATTCTACTTATTTCCTGCGTCGAAGTATAATTATTTCTCATATTGAAGTAACATATAATTTAAAAACTTGTACGCAGGTCTCTCTCTCTCTCTCTCTCTCTCCCTGTCGGCGAAATAATCAATATTAACAAGTCGTTCGTTCTCCTGCGGATACGCGCCAGCAAGGAAAACAGGTGGAAAAATGTGGCTGCTCAAGTATTACCATTTTGTATAGATTGTCTCCAAGCAGCCTGTACGTGCGCGCAGAAATAAATCACTTTGCACCACGAGCGATGGCAAAATACCGTCTTAACTGCATTGCGTTTATCCATTTAACAAAAATCGTTACATGGACCGCTATATAGTTCCGCGAAAGTTGGAACGAGTATTTCGCCGAAGATGGGAATGCTTCTAAAGCGGAACACTGAACCGATCGATGGTTAATCGATGGGAGTTATATCGAGAAAGAGAGAGAGAGAAAGAGAGAGAGAGAGAGAGAGAGAGAGAGAGAGAGAGAGAGAGAGAGAGAGAGAGAGAGAGAGCTTTGTGCAAAATTTAGTAATACTATCGTTGCGTGAGAACTCGGCGAAAACTGCTTCGCTTCGCGTCTCAACCTGAAATAAAAACGCGATACTTTGTTCGTATATTTCGATGCAAAGCTATTATTTTATTTTATTATTATTTATATCATTTATATTAACATTATTTTATCGTTTGCTCGGCGATAATTAATCGCGAAGGCGAAGTTGTTGCACAAAGGAGGTAATTTATTAAACGCATCGCGCTGACATGAAATGTCTTCCGACATGCGTCGACGAAATCTAATCGCGAAAATGATACTTTAAATGTGTGTACTTTACACGTGTATGTGAACAATTACAGTGGTTTCTAGGATGTCGCAAGCCGTCGCGAATAGATTGCAAGAATAATCTCTCCGACGATTCGCGAGAGTTAATTAACAGCAAACGGGATATCAAATGAAATTAAATGATTAAAACGGATTGCAATTGATCGGAATTGAGTGGGATTAAAACGAAGCGATTGGAATTGAACGAGGTAACAACGAGCTCAATAAAAGCCTGACCACTTGTTGGCGCAACAAGTATATTTATACAGGATCGGCAAATACGCCGATACAATTACAGCGCGTTCGCGATGTTTGTTAAAGATTTCCGACGCGGAACTTCTGTCTGCACCGAGAGCGAATGTTTGCCGAATGTTACTTTTATTCCGTGCAATTTTGACAAGTGCAATTTTGGTTTCATGTAAAATTTTACGCGATTGCTTACACAATTTATAATATACAGATGTACAAATGTATACCCGGCATTTTTATTCTCCAAGGCCCTTTTCAGTCCCTCTCCAATTTTTCTCTCATCTCAGCTTCATTTCGTTCTCGTCCAATTCGACACCGCCATTGGACAATCGATCGAAATTCGAAATCGAGTTTTAATCCTTTAACGCCCGACTTTTTTTATAAGTGCTTTAAGAATAAAATTTGAGCTTTTTGAACTGAGACTATAAGTAGTGATAACCAAAAAGAATATCAGAATTTTATATTGGTCTTTTTTATCATTCGTTTTTTGTTTATTGGTAAATATGACTTGGATCCTAAAAAAAGCATTTACGAAATGAGCAACCTATACAGAGAAAAATGAAAGGTAATCTATACGACATAACTCTGATAGTCAGTTTGACATTTTTGAGCTGGGACTACATTTGTGAGTGGAGTTTATCATTCAGAGCGTCAAGCTTACTATTTCAGAAGAGTATTTTCTAGATCACCATTTAGATGGTCAATCGTCCCTTCATTTTTCGCCGCATAAAAAGCGCTGTAGGTCACCAGGTTTCACGAAAATAGGTCGATTTCTTGATTTTCGTGCCCACCATATTGGATTCGCCATTTTGAATTTCTGTATTCTTTTAATTTCACATTTTGCATCTGAGAAAGCTTCCAAATGTATAAAATTATTAGGTGTACAAATGAATAATCCAATTTTTTCAGCTACATTCAAGGTTTATTTTAAAAGAAAGTAAATTAAATTGTTCGATCAAAGTATTCGCCGTTGCTTTCTATAACTTTAAGCCATCTTTCAGACAGCTGATGAATTCCACCTCGGAAAAATGTTACGTCTTTGGACACGATAAAGTCGTCAAGCCATTTTCGGATCTCATTCACTGATTGGAAGTGCATATCGGACAAGGCGTGTGCATCGACCGGAACAAGTGATAATCGGATGGAGCAATGTCTGGTGAATACGCCGGCCGTGCTGCAAGACGTCCCAGCCAAGACTCATTATGGTGTCTTTTGTATTGGAAGCAATGTGTGGCCTGGCGTTGTCATGCAACAATTTCACTGGACGTTCTCCCAGTTTGCCAGTATACAGGCGTTTTCGTTCCAATTCTTGACTCAAGCAGATTAATTGACGTTGGTAGCAGTCCGCAGTAACTGTTTCACCCGGTTCCAACAACTCATAATAATAAAGCACGCCCTTGATATCCCACCAAATGCAGAGAAGAACCTTCTTTCCGAAGCGATTTTGATGATTCGCCGGGATTTACCCATGACTTTCTGCGTTTCGGATTGTCATAGAGCATCCATTTCTCATCGCCCGTAACGATTTTCCACAAGAAAGACTTTCGACGCTGCTTATTCAGAAGAGAAAGACACGCTGCCACTCGTTGATTTTTGTTGGTTTCAGTGAGTTCATGCGGAACCCATTTTCCTTCTTTCTGGATCTTTCCCATCTCATGTAGACGTTTGGAAATCGTTTGCTGCGTTACTCCCAACTGTTCTGCAAGCTCTTTTTGTGTTTGTGCCGAATTCTCAGCGAGCAGTTGTTCCAAATCATCATTATCGCACTTCGGAGGGCCTCCAGGGCGTTGTTTGTCGATTAGACTGAAATTACCGCTTTTAAACCGCTTAAACCAAAATGCGCACACATCGTACGATACAATACCTTCGCCGAGAAAGGAACAAATCGATTCGCACGCTTTTGCAGCATTTTTTCCTTGTTGGAATTCGTAAAGAATGCAGTGTCGGATATGCACCTTATCTGTTGCTATTTTCGACTGTACTGAACTGAATACTTTTGAAGGTTATGTTGCGCCTTTCGCCAAACTATATGTTCTTTTTAACAGCTATATGTCAACATTGCATAATCACAAAAGAGCTGGAAAATCTATTCAATTTCAAATTGATTTCATAACTGCTTAAAATAATTTGGATTATTCATTTGTACACCTAATATAACAGCTATCAAATCTATTAATTTATAGTGCACTTCTAGATGTCAGTAACAATGCTAACTATGCCTACTTGGAATTTGACAAAACATGTTATCATTAAAACTGAGCTAAAAACAGACTAAACCGAATCTACATACAATCTATATACCATTTTTTAGAAGAAGAATTCACCTTTATCTTTTTAATGATGCAAAGAAAACGAAGATATCTCCTTTTTTCACTAAGTTATGGATTCTTAAATGCGTTTCTGGTAACTATAGTTACCAGTAGGCGTTAAAGGCTCAAATAAAAGGCTGCACATTACACGTTAACAGCGCGATACGTGCTTTATTATTTTTCAACGCGACACACACACACACACGTTGTGTGTGCGCGATATTAAAAAGAAGAAAGTACGAGACATTCGTATACCGGGTTTCGAAACGGCTTGAACACTTTTCTGCCGGATGCAGCACGAAACGCAGTCGATGGCGCAATGAGCGAACTTATTACCTAAAAAGTCCCCGGAAGTCAAGTTCGCTCGTTGCACATCTGCCGCGCCCCGAATTACACCCCGAAGAAAAGCGTCCCAACCGTTCTGGGAATCAATTCCTCCGGCAATTCACCAGCCGAATTTCGGAAGTGTACAATGTTCATTACCTTGTATTTGCCGGAAGAGAGAGAGAGGAAGCACTCGATACATATACCGTATATGCGAGAAGATATGCAACGTTGCGCACAAGCTCGTGCACTCAGCTTGTGCCGCAAACGTCAATTTATTAGCAATTTATCAGCGATTCCGCAACAACGGTATGAAGGAAAACATGTGAGAGCTCGTTACTGCGCTTACAGCCCGAGCTGAACCTGCTCGACTCAATATCAAGCCAATGCGAACTCCAGCGGCAGAATTGCCTTCGAAATACCGGAGCAGCTGTGCGGCATTGTTACACCGGCATTAGAGTCCGTACTCCTTCGCGAATGCGTTGCGGCAAAACGAGCGACCCGACGTTCGTCGTCGTCGCGCGCCTAACGAGCGCGCCTTGCCGAGAGAAGTAACGCAACGCAGGTCGCGTGCCTACGCACCGATGTGTACACTGAGAGAAAAGTATATGATATTTGGAACTATAATGATATAGTAACTAAATTATAGTCCGAAATATCATATTTATAGTAAGTATTACCATAATATCGGTAATAATTACGATATAGGCATAGTATAACCAACTATATAATATTTTTATTAAGAATTATAGTTAGTTAAACTAAAATTATTATATGGATACAAATATAAAATGGTAGGTAAAGTAACTCTTTTATATAGTCAATATTACCAAAATATTTGCTAAATGATGATAGATGTAACTATATGAATATTAAATCTCACTATATTTGTGAATGAGAAATTACTATATATATGGTAAAAGTAACTGAACATTTAAGACAATCATTGACTATATATTTGTGTTTATTCTACTATATTTTGCAGGTTCCATGAACTATAAAAATATGGTTGACGCCAAAATGAACTATAAAATATAGTGAGATTATAGTTAATTCAATTATATTTTTCTATCAGTGTACATACTACTGTGATAAAAAAATAAAGTGAATTTTTCATTTAAACTCCGCGGGTACTATAAAATCATGAAATTATTTTTCGGTGGGTT